CTTAGCTGCCTTTCCATTGTCTTATTTCTGAAGGACCTAGTGGTTAGGTAGCTGTCATAATTCTCCTTGGGGAGTTAGTTAAAGGCTTGATCAAGCCAGGGGCATACTGGAGCCAAACTGTACTAGTTTGCAAGAGATGCTTGCTAAATATTCATAGATTTTTGTGAGCAGACGGTTAAACTTTGGCAGCTTTAAACCAGTCATGGAGGAGTATTTACTCCCTGAAGACTGGCAAAACAATAAACTGCCCTCCCCACCCCCTATCGCCCAGAGAGCTGGCCTATCGGCCCTCTCCTGGGTACTACTCTCCCCAGAGGAACTTGCATTTTCTAAGGTGAGCGGAAATGCTGTTCAAAGTCTAGATTCAAAATGAATTTCTATGGCTGGGATTTCTCTAATAACAATAAACAAAGGAAAAATCATTACAGGCATTGCCTAACTGTTACCACACAGTCAAAGAGTTAGACCATCTTGATGAAAACAAGTTCTACTGATCCATGACCAGGAGATACAGTGAGGAATTATTTAAAAAAAATTTTTTTTAAAGAAGTATTGCTTTTCTGGGCCAAGGAAGATTCCCAAAGATACATGTATGTATAACAGTCCTATAAAATGTGTATCATTCTATAACAGTGAGCCACTGAATCAGACTATTTTCAGAATTAGTGACCAAAGTCAAGGGTGGACTATGCTGCTTAAAAAGAACAAAGAATTACAAACCTCCACAGAAGAGCTGGAGGTAATGTAGCTGGCAGAGTGAAAAACTAAACTTACTAATAGAGTATCAGTTAAATAATCTTGTGGTTTCCAAAACCGAAAGTGGGCCTTAACATTCTTAGCAAAATCTTAAAAAATCATAACTGTTGGACTTGTAGTTAAAGCAAAACCCAGGCCTAGTTACAGCAAATGACATTTACTCTAAGCATATCTTCTTTAAAAGGTTAGAGGTGCTTAATATAAACTAGTTATCTTTCCTACATATTTTTGTCTATGCCACCAGTTTCAAACATTTACTGTATCTACTGTGTGCTACACACTCTCTTAACTATATGGATCAATATGTTCCATCCCACACTGTTTCAGAGAGTCCATCAATTTTTAAAGTATATACTTAAGGAAGTATTATTCAAAGGCCTCAAAGATAGTCTACTAGTAAAAATGAAGGATTTTGTTTCTGGTCAGTTTATTGTGCTTGCTTGTGTCTGCATGCTCAGTGTGTGATCCTCTGTCCCTGGGAGTTCCCGGCAAGAATCCTGGAGTGGGTTGCCGTTTCCTTCTCCAGGGGATCTTCCTGACCCAGGGATGGAACCTGTATCGCCTGGCAGGTGGATTCTTTACCACTGTGCCACTTGGGATAGTTTATTGTAACTAGACAGTAACATTTGAAAGTTGTAATCTTTTAGCCTTTCTGCTCCCACAAGAATAGTCACCAGGAGCTTTTTAGAGATAGTGATTTGCTTTCTGAGGAAAACTGTGGTGTAGTTTTAATAGCCTTCTTGGGAGGATCCGAATGTAACTAAATAAAAATATGGAAACTATGCTTTAAAGAGAACACTTTATAACCTACTCATAAAAATTTTGCTTATAACTAACCTGTGCTTCTGAAAATATGGTCTAAAAGTAGTAAATACGGATCCTTAGTAACGGGCTCTTGAGCTACAGTTACAGTGACACTTTGAGTTTGTTGTTACGGTTGGTTACTATAATACAAACACACCATACCATCAAAGCATGTAAAATTAGTGAACACATGGATATGCAGCTCAAAAGATACTTCCTTTCAAGCTATACTCACAAGAAAACTATCAATGAATGCATCAAACAAACACTGAAACTCAAAGCATCAATCACTTTAAAGCTAATACCTCAAGAAGGCTGAAATGTATCAAAGTCATAAAGTATATAATGGATAGAGTTGATCTAAAAGATAAACAGTTCTTTTGACACCAGGAAAAGGAATCAGGGAAAGACGGGGGTCAATAAGTGGTGAATGGCCTGGCAGGTTGTCTGCCTGACCTTCACTGTTGACCTAAAGGAGCATCTCATGACCAGTAAGAACCGCCTAAAACAGGTGTGTACAAACCTCCCTACCAGCAGATCTGCGGCTCCTTCAAACCCCTGGAGTGTAAACCAGGCCTTTTAATTTCTATAATGGAAAGTAAGTCCATTCGGCCACTAGATGGAGATCAGGTTACTCTGCTGTTGACAGGGAAGCTGCTGGCAGTCGGTAAATGAGAAGCATGCTACTGAGAACCTAATTCTCTTTTCTCAGTACTTCTATGGAAGGTATTTTCCAAGCACGCAGATCAGGAGCAGACCTATGTCCAATAAAAGGTCCATAAAGAGCAACAGGCGGTGCTAGTGGTAAAGAACCCGCCTGCCAAGGCAGAAGACATAAGAGATGCAGCTTTGATCCCCTGGGTCAGGAAGATCCTCTGGAGGAGGGCATGGCAACCCACTCCAGTGTTCGTGCCTGGAGAACCCCATGGACAGACGATCCTCACAGGCTACAGTCCATGGGGTCGCAAAGAGACACGACTGAGGCAACTTAGCACGCAGCACAATGAGCAAGAGGCTGAAGGATCTATTAAGAAGGTAGTTGTAAAAGACACATTTTTGCTTAAGTATGTATTTTCAGTATCAACAAAGTGTATCACAGAACATCACAGATGGAAGGAAAACACTGGATAACATCTACTCTTATTTTCCAAATGGAACTTTCACTCCATTCTAAATTATGTAACTTTATTACTGAATAAATCTTATTTCTATGATAGCTGAACTTTAAACTGGAGACAATGTTACACATTTTCCAGAAAATGTATGGTCTATAGAAAGATCAGATACTGCCCTACATACTATAGCAGAGTATTTTGATTATTTTTGAGATATTATATGCTATACTTCTGTGCATTTCTAACTTAGGAACTGTATGTGAAATTGCTCAGTTGTGTTCGACTCTTTGCAATCCCATGGACTGTAGCCTACCAGGCTTCTCCGTCTGTGGAATTTTCCAGGCAAGAGTACTAGAGTGGGTTGCCATTTCCTTCTCCAGGAGATTTTCCCAACCCAGGGATTGAACCCAGGTCTCTCCTGCATTGCAGGCAGATGCTTAACCATTTAAGCCACCAGGGAAGCCCAGGAACTATATATATTCATTCAATAAATAGCCAGTTACATAAAGACCAATGAAAGATTGAGAGAGTTAAAAAGAATTCCATTCGTTATAAAAAAGCTTCAATTTTGTGTATATGGGTATGAGGAGAAACAAGCATGTTATCTATCATGTACCAATCCCAGCTAAAGAGCTGGGAATACAGAGGTGCACAACAGCCAGAGGAAGTTACTGGGAAGAGAAGCGCTACAAGGTTAAAACACAAACGGGTTAATTTTTGCAGTGGTGAAGACTAGCTATCAAAATCATGAGTGATTTTGATATTTTAAAATTCTGTTGTGAAGGAAACTTAATTTAGGCCACAAACCTGGCCATGGGGAAAACATGACCTTTGATCTCTGTAACACATGAGAAATTGAAATAAAACCTAAGACAGTCAAACACAATAGGGCTTCCCTTGTGGCTCAGCTGATAAAGAATCCGCCTGCAATGCGGGAGACCTGGGTTTGATCCCTGGGTTGGGAAGATCCACTGGAGAAGGGAAAGGCTACCCACTCCAGTATTCCGGCCTGGAGAATTCCAGGGACCATACAGTTACCAAGAGTCAGACCCGACTGAGTGACTTTCACTTTCGCTTTTCATCAATTGCTGTAATGAAGAAAGGACCTTAATTCAGACAAAGAAGAAACTTAATCTTTAGAATAATAATAGAAGGAGAACCATAGTTAATTAATTTTCTAATAACTGTTATGGATAGCAACCAACATTCAGACTGTTACTGTGATAGATCATTGCACTTAATGACATGTTTATTTTAGAGTAATACATTTGTTTCAGCTTAATTGAATTAATGTAGTCATACCCTTTCAAAAGAATTTGAGGTTGCTGGCCTATATTTGTTTATGATTTTCAAAATGCTCCTGTAAGCTAAAAAGATGTATTACTCACTCATGCATACACAATACATATATATTTCTTCTCTGAGGGAAATCATAAAAATAACCACATAAAATAGCAATTACTAATTAGATGTCAATGGTAGTTTGTTGAAATCTCTTATCTTGTTATCGTCTATATCACTAACTGGTTCTTTACAGAGCAACAGAGTTGGCAGGAACCTACCTTTCTTTTTGCTGGATAAGAATGAAATATAAACAAAGAAGTTTACCTCTGAAGGTTAAAATAAATAAATTACAGATAAAACAAATCCTTTCATAATATGGTTTAGTATTTATGGGTACACAGCCTCCCACACTGTTCACATTAGTTGCAGACAGCAATCAGATTACGTGATGACTGAGCTACTTCTGGAGGGGTGGAGTTTTCTCCCTCTTTGCTGACCTGTTCCCATATCTCCTTCTAGTGCAGGTTTGAGTCTACTTATTACGACTGCTAAACTTCCATTCTCTAGAAATAAGGGAGCTGGTAAAAACACACCTCTATTGGATGCATAATTCTGTTTATCTTCTCTAGTCTAAAGGTTTTGGCCTTATAATAATGTGCTGCATTTAGATGCTCAGGATTTCTGTTTCCTTGGTAGCATGGGGAGATGCTGACGACAATGGCAGAAGTGAAAACTGATACAAAGGTGGCGCTGGAAACTGATTAATGCTTAAGGTTAAAAAATAAACGTTGAAGATTACATTTGCATGTTATGAGGTGAGGAACCTATATACTTAAGCACTGACAGACAAACAAGGCACAATTTTACTTTTTCACTATGTCAAAGGATAGATTTGTCTTTTCCTGAGTCCCCAAATTATTTTAGCTGTTTTAGCAAACTACATTTGAGTCTCTGGGCCAGAAGCTTCTATGACTGTGGCATCTGCAGATAATTGATAACTTAATGTGCCCCCTTAAGTGGTAAGGTCAAGTCAAGCAGTACCTGCATGTGTCTATCACCTTCTTCTCCAATCATGTTTCTCCATTCCATGAGTGACCGCTGCAGATGCTCAAGGCCCGTTTCCCAAAGCCGGACACGGCCTCCCATATCAACAGTGACAACGCCACCCTTGCCCCACTCAGCTAGCAGTGCGTCTGTGTCCGAGATAGTAGACAGCCACGTGGTATACGGTGAGAGAGAGTCTGACCTGAAAAAGAAATCACGGTGTTCAACCAATTGAAGCCCAGGGAATGCTGCTAGTTCAACTTGCCTTACGTTAAACTCGCTGTAAAGAATTCTCATAATTACACAAGAACCTGCTATACAGCATGAGGAACTACATGCAGCGTCTTATAGTAACCTATAGTGGGAAAGGGTCTGAAAAGGAATATGGATGTGTATAACATACACATGCATATATATACACGTGAGTGAATCTGCTTACAACTGAAACTAATATAACACTGCAAATTAACTATACTTCAGTAAGAAACATAATGTTTAAAAACACATTAAAAGCACATTAAAAACTAAGGGACCAACAGATTCATCTGGAAGGAAAAAATACATAGTTATTTACTGGTTATTTACATATTCCTTTTAAAATTTTTATTTATGTTTTAGCCGCACTGGGTCTTCTCACTTTGTGTGGGCTTTCTCTAATTGCAGCAAGCGGGGGCTCGTCTCTAGTTGAGGGACGTGGGCTTCTCACTCCAGTGGCTCCTCTGGTTGTGGAGCACAGGCTCTTGAGTGTGTGAGTTTAGTTGCCCCTCGGCATGTGGGATCTTCCCGGACTGGGGATAGAACCCGTGTCCCCTGCAGTTCTCAACCAGCGGACTACCAGGGAAGCCCAATTTATGTATCTTGCATTTGAAGATCCTGGATGACATTTAGCATTCACTGTCAGGAAGAAAGGAACTCTAAACCAACTCACACCTCAGACTCCTGCAAAGCTGACTCACTTCCCAGGGGTCTAAGGTCTATGCTGAAATTCAAGTCTTGTTTATGTGTTTTAACTGCATTTATTTGACATTTTGCCTTTTCTAAGTTAGATGGTTATATGGATTATAATAAGAATTTATATATTTCCTATACGTTTCATGCTTATACATATTTCTAATATATACAGTCAATTTAAGGAATGCAACTTTTGCCTGTAAGAGTCAATTGCACACTTCCTTTATCTGAGTATGTCTCTCACTATACAAAAGAAATAGATTAGAAATTCTAATTATCACGATTAATTTTCTAAATATATCTGGTATTTTCTCTATGAAATAAATGGTCTAAAGAGATGGTCTGTTCAGATAATTAAAACTATAAAGTATCAATGTAGATTTGCAGAAACTACAAAACCACTATATATTAGGTAAATTTTTATACTGAAGAAATCAAGACTACTTTAATCTTTTTATCAGTCTGCCTTAGTGAATACTGAACACAGAGTGACAAAGCCAGCTACTCTGAGATATGGAGCTCTTAGAAAATGTTTATATAAAGAGCATAATAACAGTAGGATGGAACCAAGGATTTCAGAGCTATAGGGTTGGCCAAAAAGTTTGTTCAGGTTTTTCCATTACATCTTATAAAAAACTCAAATGAACTTTTGGCCAACCCAATACTTTACAGTACTAGAAGGACTCAAGGCAACTTTTGATATAATAGAGGATTCATCTCATGGTGCTCTCTCAGAAAATACTTGCCTTAGGAAGAAAATCTAGGTACAGATGGTGAAGTAAAAGGCCATTCAAGAATAATGAAATTTAATCACTTATGATGTGAGTAAATCTGCCACAAATGCTCAAGATGCATGATTCTATTGAGCACGGCACCTACTGGTTCCACACTTAACTCTCCAGCATGCAAGTTTAAATTTACCAGAGCAATTTCCTCAATACGCCAAAAAAATGCTGAAGAAATCATATACTTACTACAGCTTGCACACTACATCTAGAATCTCTTCTGTACCTTAAAAAGAAAATCACATTCCTCTTATCTATGATAACAAAGTCTTTAAGGAACACAGAGAATCACAGAAGAGTGAAGTCCAGACTTACACACACCCGTATGTTAGTGCTGAGTAGCATGGTTTTACAAAAGCAACAGAAGTTTCAGGACTAACACTCAAATTGTACTGAGAGCAAAAGTGATATATTCTTTTTGGCCGCACAGTTACATATAGTTTTACTGTTTTCTATTATTTGAAGTTAGCCATCAAATGGAAAATTCCTGCTATCTAACAGAACACTAAATTTAAGCAACCAGCAACAAAACTGAAACCCAGATGGGCTGTTCCCTTGGATTACATATACACCAAAAATGGCAGTAGTTAATCTTGAGAGAAACTCAGGATATACTGACAATGAACAGACTCTAAAACAAGTGGCACTTGAAATAAGACAAGTTCAAATCGAGATGTTCTGTAAATGTAAAATATATACTGGGTTTCAAAGACTCAGGAGAAAAAAGGAACGCAAAATATCATTAAAATTTTTATATCAAATACGTGTCAGAATAGTAATAGTTTATAATGGTAATAAAATACTATTAACAGTAATTTCACCGATTTCTTTGTGCACTCTTTTACTTTGGCCACTAAGAACATAAAATTACATATATGGCTCACATTCTATTTCTGTTGGACAGCGCAGCACTAAATGAATGAAGCATGGGGACCAGCTGGCACTAGCTGTATTTATATATATATATATATATAGCCATTCTTCCAGGTATTATTTCTATGGTGGGCATAACATATGGNGCTTTTGTTAGGAAAACACAGACATTGTCAGGTAGATGTATGTTATGCTGTGATTCTTTAGTGTCAGAGAATTACCTAAGTTCCTTTCATTTTCTTTGATATTAATAGCTTCCCAAGATGGGTCAGTGTTTTAGCACTTAAGAGTTTATCTGAAAATATTGCATCATTGGAATTTTTTTCCTTCCTAGGAAGTTACAACAGGGATGGTATAATACAGTGGAATCAGCACCTACTTGAAAACGGAATGGCCTGGTAGACAATCCTGGCTTGATATTTTCTAACTATGACTTACTATGGCCAAGTTAGTTCTCTCTCTGAGACCTGCTTTCATCAATTGCAAAACAAGGATGAGAAGAGCATCTGAGAATCATAAACATTACTTGCACACAATTAGTAGCTGTTCCACCCCAGGAGCTGTTATTATTAGGACCCCTCAAGACAGGAAAAGGTGAGGTGAAGATCGGGGCAGTGGGGCAAGGACTCTGGGTCATGAAGGTCATGAAAAGGTGGGGAAGGAGAGGGTAATGTGATATGGGGGCCAGAGTCCCCAACTCCAATTCTAGTTGTTTCCCAGAAAACTCTGGGAGTTGACTGACTTTTCCCCCCAAATCCCTGAGGACCACCATCACCTCATCATCGCCAGTCACCAGCACTGTGTCAGGAATCCTGCCTGTCTTTCCTGTGTCTCATTAATTGCGTGCTATGCTGCTGGGTTCAGCTGCTCAGCTGTGTCTGACTCTTTGCAACCCCGTAACTCACCAGGCTCCTCTTCCATGGAATTTTCCAGGCAAGAGTACTAGAGTGGGTTGCCATTTCCTACTCCAGGTGATCTTCCTGACCCAGGGATCGAACCCACGTCTCTTGCATCTCCTGCTTTGGCAGGTGGATTCTTTACCGCTGCGCCACCTGGGAAGTCCTATTAATTGCTTTTCTCTTTTTTGGCTGCACCACCCAGCACGTGGAATCCTAGTTTCTGACACTGGAAGCTCAGAATCTTAACCATTGGACCGCCAGGGAAGTCCCTGTTTGGGACTTACAGATAGTGTTTTTAATACTGACAACTACAAACGCCTTGGATTCTGTTTGAGAGATGAGAAAGTGGAGACTTATTACAGAAGTGGTATAATAATGGACTTGGATAGTGATAGAGAAAGCTTACAAAATCAGGCCTTCCTTCTGGCTTTAAAATCTCTGCTCTGCCCACTGCTCCACACAGCTTCTACCTGAGCTGACCGTGGGGCAACAATTTTAAAATGGCCTTATTTTTACAAAATCTTGGCCTCCAATGTCTCTTTAAAAAAAAACAAAAACACAAACCTACAAAGAAACCATACTCTTAAAGATTTTTGTCTGTTGTCTATCTCCTATTACAATTTCTATTTTTTTTTTCATATTGTAACAAAGTTTTCTCTCTCTACTATGCAAAGTCAGCTATAAGTCCAGGCAACTTTAAAGGTACTTCAAAGATACTTGCTTAGGTGTTTACCCTTTTTAAAAAATTTTAATTTATTTATTTTTAATTGAAGAATAATTTCTTTATAATATTATGTTGGTTTCTGCCACACATCAGTAAGAATCAGCCATAGATATACCTATGTCCTCTCCCTATTGAACCCCACTCCCACCTCCCACCCCACCCCACCCCCAGGCTGTCATGGAGCTCTGCATTTGGGCTCCCTGTGTCATAGAGCAAATGCCCACTGGTCATCTGTTTTACATACAGTAACGTACGTTGCAACGCTACTTTCTCAATTCATCCCATCCTCTCCTTTCCCCACTGCGTCCACAAGTCTTTATGTTTTTTTGTCTGCATCTCCACTGCTGCCCTGCAAATAGGTTCATTAGTGCCATCTTTCTAGATGCCATATATATGTGCTAATATACAGTGTTTTTCTCTGTCGGACTTACTTCACTCCGTATGATAAGCTTTAGGTTTCATCCACTTCATTAGAACTGACCCAAATGCATCCTTTCTATGGCTGAGTCATACATATTCCGCTGTGCATATGTACCACACCTTCTTTACCCATTCATCTCTCAGCGGACATCTAGGCTGCTTCCATGGCCCAGATACTGTAAGCAGTGCTACGATGAGCACTGAGGTGAATGTCTCTTTAAATTATGGCTTCCTCAGGGTATATGAACAACAGTGGGACTGTTGGTCATACGGTGCTTTTATTCCTAATTTTCTAAGGAATCTCCATACTGTTTTTCATAGTGGCTGAATCAATTTACATTCCCACCAACAGTGCAAGAGGGTTCTTTTCCCCACAACCTCTCTAGGATTTATTGTCTATAGATTTTTTTGATGATGGCCATTCTGACTAGTGTGAGGATACCTCATGGTAGTTTTGATTTGCATTTCTCTAATAATGAGCGATGTTGAGCATCTTTTCATGCATTTACTAGCCATCTGTGTGTCTTCTTTGGAGAATTGTCTGTTTAGGTCTTATGCTCACTTTTTGATTGGGTTGTTTTTCTGGTATTGACCTGCATGAGCTGTTTGTATATTTTGGAGATTAATCCTTCGTCAGTTGTTCCATTTGCTATTATTTCCTCCTATTCTTAGGGTTGTCTTTTCACCTTGTTTATAGTTTCCTACATTGTGCAAAAGCTTTTAAGTTTAATTAGGTCCCATTTGTTTATTTTTGGTTTTATTTCCACTACTTTAGCAGGTGGGTCATAGAGGACCTTGCTGTGATTCATGTCAAAGAGTGTTCTGTCTATGCTTCCCTCTAGGAGTCTTACATTTAGGTCTTTAATCCCTTTTGAGTTTATCTTTGNTTAAAGGGAACTCATTGCCACAGCGTTCAGAGCACAGTTCCCATAAACAGTGGGGCAGCTTAGAGGCACAGCATCAAGGTTTGGAGTGGGGAAAAAAACTGTCGGGCAAAATAACCAAGAGCATTTTCAGAAGGAAGATGAAATTATATAAAAAATTCACTCCTTCAAGCAACGTAATTTGATGTATACGTGTTCCCTATGGTACTAGGTTTCAAGAACTTCTGTGTTCACAGATTCAAAGATTGATGTGTGCCCTGCAATCGGGGTGATAGCAAATCTTTTAATTTATTCAAAGTTCAAACAGCAGTGCGTTGCTTTCAATCAAGAGTCATTACTTTGTGTTTAAAGAGCTGAGGCCTATGATTTAAAGGGGAAAAAGAAAAAGCTACCATTTAACTAGAAGAAAAACGATTGGAAGAAAGAAGTATATCGCCCCCCTGATCTGCATCAACCATGAGTTACGCCCTCTTTGTCAAAGCCACCGGGAGAGTAACCTTGACAGCTCTGACTGGCTTCTTTAATAAAAGGCTACGCACGGCGTTCCTGGCTAACCAGGTGGCTGGTCTGTATTTACTTGAAAAAACTAGTTTGAATTATCACCAGAGACCTAAAGGCGCACAGACTAAAGAGTCAAATAGGCTGAAAGGAAAAAACCATCAGCCCCAGTTTCACTCCTCTCACACCTCACATTCTACTCCCAGAGATACTTTCAACTTTTTAAAGCTGTTTCTTTGGTGTTCACCTTCATCCTTCTGGTGCTGTCTTGATGTTTTACTTTTAGGCATTATGTACTGATGTCCCATCATGTAGGACGAGACTTTTAACTCTTTTTCACACACCCGCTTCCTCTGCCTGGGCGTCCCTGGTGGCTCAGTGATAAAGGATCCACCTGCCAGTGCAGGAGACCCAGGTTTGATCCCTGGGTCAAGAAGGTCCCCTGGGGAAGGAAATGGCAACCCACTCCAGTGTTCTTGCCTAGAGAATCCCACGGACAGAGGAGCTTAGGGGGCGGGCTACAGTCTAAGGGGTCACAAAGGAATCTGACACAACTCACTGACTAAACAACTTCCCTGGCCTAACACCCCACTTCCCATCCCCCAGTGTATTTATGTGATACCTGGATGCCCTCTGAGTCTTCATATATTTATGAAGGTCCGATTGTCAGAGACATGGTTTTTCCAGTGGTCATGTATGGATGTGAGAGTTGGACCATAAAGAAGGCTGACTGCCAACAAATTGATGCTTTTGAACTGTGGTGTTGGAGAAGGCACTTGAGAGTCCCTTGGATAGCAAAGAGATCAAGCCAGTCCATCCTAAAGGAAATCAACCCTGAATATTCATTGGAAGGACTGATGCTGAAGCGGAAACTCCAATACATTGGCCACCTGATATGAAGAGCCGACTCACTGGAAAAGACCCTCATTCTGGAAAAGATTGAAGGCAGGAGGAGAAGGGGGTGACAGAGGATCAGATGGGTAGATGGCATCATCGATTCAATGAACATGAGTTTGAGCAGATTCCAAGAGATAGTGAAGGACAGCCCGGTGTGCTGCAGTTCACGGGGTCATAAAGAGTAGGACAAGAGTGATTGACAAAACAACAACAGAAATATGGAACTCCCATTCAAATGCATTTTTTTCCCTCCTGTTAACCTGTCTGACATCAATTTAATTATGAGACCAATCAAAAAACCTGAAGGGAAGAAGGGAAAAATTCCCCACCCCCACACCAAACTCTAGTCAGGCCTTTCTGAATCCTCTTCTCAATTAGGTACACACTTTTGGCCTTCTGTGTTCATCTGAGCATTGTCCAGTTTTAGCAAGAATAAAGTTCAGTTAGCTTAACCAGAAACCTAAACCTGGATATCTGGCAGAGTTCCTGATCCTCTACCATTTCCCAAATAAAGTCTGATCACCCTGGCCTTCCTGCAGCAGGGATCCTGTTAGGTTGGTTTAGTCAGAATCCTCCATTACCTCTGATTCCCTCTTAGTAATTTTCCATCCACTCATTCCCACCAACAAAACTGAAGGATCTCTACTATCTGATTTTAAGATAAACTATGAAGTAGTAATCAAGAGAGTATGGTGTTAATGAGGGGACAGACACAAAGATCAATTGAATACAAATGCAAACTCAGAAAGAAACCTACATACGTGGTCAGTTGCTTTCCACAGAGCTCCAAAGATAATTTGATGGAAAAAAGGATAGCCTTGTCAGTAAATGATGCTAAACAATTGACTATTTGCAAAACAATGAGCCTTAATCCACACCTTATACCATAAAGAAAATTAACTTGACCATATACTAATGCATATATACAGAATCTAGAGAGATGGCAGCAAAGAATTTATCTGCAGGGCAGCAGTGGATAAACAGACATTGAGAACAGACTTATGGACACGGGGAGAGGGGAGGAGAGGCTGAGATGTATATTGAGAGTCACATGGAAACTTACATTACCATATGTAAAATAGATAGCCAATGGGAATCTGCTGTGTGTCTCAGGAAACTCAAACTGGGGCTCCAGTTTGATACTCAAACTGTATCAACCTAGACAGGTGGGATGGGAAGGGATATGGGAGGGAGGTTCAAAAGGGAGGAGACATATGTATACCTACGACTGATTCATGTTGAGGTTTGACAGAAAGCAACAAAATTCTGTAGAACAATTATCCTTCAATTTAAAAAATAAATTAATTAAAAACATCAACCTGGAGTATAAATCTAAGTGCAATTGCATCTAGAAATATGAAATCCCTCAAACAAAACGGGAAATTTGGGCCTTTCACCAAAATGGGAGAAAATGTTTGGAAAACATGTATCTCATACATTGGACTTGTATCTAGACTATATAAACCCAAAGACTCAAAAAATCATTAAAAAGAAAGCAAGTAACCCAGTTCAGAATGTGGGCAAAGGATCTGAAGAGACATTTCACTCAAGAAGACAGACATGAGAAGATACTCAACATCATGTGGGACTAGGGAAAATGGAGATTAAAACCACAATGAGATATTTAGCAATAAAAAGGAATGAACAACTGGTACTTACAACATAAATGATTCGCAAACATACAATATTAAGTGAAAGAAACCAGACTCGAAAAGTGCTGTGTGATTCCATACATGCGACATTCTGAAAAACGCAAGTGAATAAGGGCAGAAAACCAGATCAGTGAGGGGTTGGGGGTAGGGCTTGATGGCAGAGTGGCCTAGGTGAGGTTCAGGGGAGATGGGACTATTCACAGTCAGTCATGGTGATGGCTACACAACTGGATGTGTTTGTCAAGCTCATAGCACTATACACCAAAAACAGTGAATTTTACTGTATGTAAACTGGACCTCGCATCACCAGATTGTCAACACTGAAATCAGACTGATTATATTCTTTGCAGCCAAAGATGGAGAAGCTCTATACAGTCGACAAAAACAAGACTGGGAGCTGACTATGGCTCAGATCATGAACTCCTTATTGCTCAATACAGACTTAAATTGAAGAAAGTAGGGAAAATTACTAGACTTTTCAGGTATGACCTAAATCAAATCCCTTACATATACAGTAGAAGTGAGTAACAGATTCAAGGGATTAGATCTGACAGAGAGCCTGATGAACTATGAACAGAGGTTCAGGACATTGTACGAGAGACAGTGAACAAGACCATCCCCATGAAAAAGAAAGGTAAAAAGGCAAAATGGTTGTCTGAGGAGACCTTACAAAAAGCTGAGAAAAGAAGAGAAGCCAAAAGCAAAGGAGAAAAGGAAAGATATTCCCATTTGAATGCAGAGTTCCAAAGAATAGCAAGGAGAGATAAGAAAGCCTTCCTCACCCTCTTACACTGTTGGTGGGACTGCAAATTAGTACAGCCACTATGGAAAACAGTGTGGAGATTCCTTAAAAAGCTGGAAATAGAACTGCCATATGACCCAGCAATCCCACTTCTGGGCATACACACCAAGGAAACCAGATCTGAAAGAG